AGAGGCTCCGTCTGGCTTCTCCCGGCAAGTCGGAGGGAGGTGGCTGGGGGTGGGCAGCGGGAGGGCCGGGCGTCAGAGCGGTCGGGCGGAGACGGGCCCGGAGCAGCCCTCCATACAAGGCAGAAAGGAACTCCGAAAGTCGGCGTCGGCTGCCTCCCGCCGCCCCGCGTGCGGAGGAGGAGCGGCCCCGGCCCCGCGGGGATCCCGGGGGACGGCCAGCCGCCCAGCGGGTATCCACAGGCTCCAGAGGCCCCCGCCGAGTATTTGGCTTGCGTCTTCGGGGGTTGTTTTTGCACAGGCAGGCAGCGTTCCCCCAGCCCTTCTCTTGGGCTCGGAGTCCACTGCCTGGCCAGCAATCGTGGCGAAGTGATTTGACAACACATGTAGGAGGGGGTTGTATTTGCATTTTAAAGCACCACTTTTGACTCTCTACCAGGTGGCACTGTGTCTGCCCGACAGTGCCAGAGGCCAGAGCCTCTGGTGTGGATGAATGCAAAATGTGCCAGCGTCCCCACGTCCAGGTATGAATCACCTGGAGAGGACCGGCAGAGAAGGACGGACCTGGTGCTGTAAAATGTTCGCAGCCCTGACATTCGGTAGGACAGAGGGGCGGAGGGACGAATTCTCCATCCAGGGAGGACAGTGCTGCGAAAAGGGCTTTGTAACAAACACTCTTAGTGAGATACCTCCAGAAGGTTCCAAATGCCTTGTTCTGGCCATTGGGCTGCCCTGCCTTGACAAGGTTGTTGCAGGGTGAGTTCAGTTTGTCAATGTGAAGGCACGAAAAGGATAGCAATTTTCGAAATACACCTGAAATGCAAAGGAAAATTAAGAAACGGGAGAGAGCTAAGGAGTAGCAATGCCGAACCATCTCCACCCCCAGGAGAAGCAGTGGTGCGGCGTGTTCAGGCCTTCGCGTAGAAAGAACACAGGAGTCTTGGATTAGGCCTCCAACCAGAGAGGCCTCGTTCAAGAGGGAACTGCTGTGCCAGGGGTGGAAAGATTTCCTTGAACATCTTAAATTCTTAAGCTCTCTATAGTAGTGCATTAGAGCACTTCTGACATGAAGTGCAGAGAACATGATCCCTGATGGAAAAAAAAAAAACGACCATCCTGCATATGCATAAAAGCAAAAATGATGGGGTGGCTGTAAAATTTTTAATTAGTCCTTCTTTCGTTTCAGGAGGAGCTTATGAAAGGAGGAAGACCTTTATGAATTTGGAATTGATTTTCCAGCTCTCTGAAAGCAACCTCCCAAAACAGAAGACTGATAATAATACTGCTTACTAGCAACATTTAAAGTGTGCAATTTTATGACCCAGTGATCTTTTCTTCCCAGTCACCCCTCCTTTTTGGTGCCTTTTTTGTTTTTTTTTGTTTTCTTGTGTTGTTTTTTATATGCTCTACATCTCTTTCTTGCTCTTTGTTTCTTTCTTCCTACTCTGAGTGGCCTCACAAAAGGCACCCCACTGGGACTTAACTTAGTTTGTTTTATGCTAAGCATAGAGAATGTGGCAGCAGGAGCTAGCAAATGAGAAATGAAGTGGGATGTAATGCGATTGAGAACTAAAGCTCAGGCAGGATATTTTATATAACCGAGGATAGCTTTCCACTCCAAAATTAGATAACCAAATAATCAAGTACATCATTTTTTTCCCAATTGTTAATGATGCAAAAGCAGATTTTCTTCCCCAGCATGGGGATTACAAATAGCAGAATTAGATGCTCATTATTGTCTACATGATATGTTATCATCATAGCCTCACTACATAAAAATCTTTTTATAATATATTTTGTCAATTATTTCAATGATGACCTCAGACTTCCTACTAAGGTATACCATTTCAAATTTTATGCCTTTAAGAGGATGTGCTCTACAGAAGGTAAGTCGGCCATTATTTGTTGGCCTTTGAGCCAAATCTCAATTTCTTTAGATCACTCTGATGAAGAAGCACTCTGTTCTTTAATATCTGAAGCCGTTGAAGAAAGATATTGCTTCTACAATTCTTTCTGAAAGGGTTGGTCATCAACCCTAAGCCTAAATCATTGCTTAGTGCACTGTTGTGAGGTTGCTACTTATTGCTTTTTATCAACCTAAACCTTTTTAATGAGGATATTCATAATATGGCTTTTATTTCTTATGTATCATATATACAGGACCATTTCCACAGCATAGTATTATGTATCTATTGGATTAACCATAGCCATCTACAATGCATTGGTTCGGCTCAGTTCTCTTATTTTGGAAAATTCCACAAAAATCAGATCGTATCTCATTTTAATAAAATTTTGCTAATTCATGAAAATTTGCCATTCAAGATACATTGTTTGTAAATCATAAGGGCTGATGATAAAAGTTGTCTTATGGGCTATAAGTGAGCAAGAAGGCAGAAATCAATACCTACCATTCATTTAAGAGGAAATTTTCTGATAACAAAATAAAGATTAGTGAAGAATTCAGATGTTTGTATTTAATCATATCTAGAAGAAAGTTTAAGGAAGATTTAGTTCATGCAAAGCGATGACTTCTATGACAAATTTATGTGTGTAATTTTGGGCTAATTCTCAATTATTATGTGTGAATGTTTAATTGGTTCATATACATTTCTGTTAATTAAAACTGAACACAGAACAATATTAACGTAGTAGCCATGAAATGTTCACTCTTACTGGTTTTTGTTTCAGGTTGTACTATGAGTAGTGGTAGCGTAAAATTCTATTTTTGTTGTATTTCTTAATGTATATATGAGCAGGTTTTTCTGATTTTTTTCAGTAAATCAAATCTAATTTCTTCAACATTTTGGCCTAAAGAATAGGAAAAAGTAACCTTATTGAAATGGTTTCTTTTTTTCTCTCTTTCATGTACAAATACACACATACAAACACCAGAAAAGAAAATGATTGCTCTTGGCCAAAAAAAATTAAAAGGACAATAATTAACTGTCTAGGTTTTTGGGGGTTTTTTGGCATATCTTAAGAAACGTAAGGAGAAAACCACAACAACGGGCTTTATTTGTTTATATGCGAATAGAAGTACATGACCTGTCTCTGAGATAAAGATATACTGTAAGAGCCATAGTAAAAAATACTTGTGATTTGAGGCAGTATCATGCTTCTGTGCACACCTAGACATGTGCCAGAGAAAGTCAAAGTTAAAAACGGACAGAAAGTTTCAATTATTTATGTCCTTGGGGAATCTTTTCAGAAGATGGGAATAAGAAAGACAGCAACTCAGAAGTATCAATTCCCAGGAGAATGGTTAAGGGCACATGTAATGATTTTTAAGTCAGTGTTCGCATTCAATATTTTTAAACTATTGTAAAGCAAGCACACAGAGGCTCCCATAGAAAGCAACAAGGTAAAAGACACTATCTTAGATGAAGAAATAAGGTCAAATATTTCCTACAAACAAGACAAATATTTAGAAGAAAATTTTCCTTGGCCCGAATAATATCGCTTTTGACAGATATCACATTAAACTTTTGAGGAAAAGAATACCTTTTCTAAATGGACACCAAGTAATATTAGACAAGTTCTTATTGGAAGTTGATTATTTGCACATCAGATTCCTATACTGGCAAATGACTGCTAATTTAAGTATCTAGAAATATTAGCTGTTATATTAAATACCATCATATCCTCAACCCAGCAACAGAGTTTTTATGCTATTCTGTTTTTGAATCTCTGCTAATCATGGAGTTTTTCATTTCTTTTCCTTGTTTTAATTTTGCTCTTCCCTCCTTCCCTCTTTAAACACAAGCATACCTCAGAAAAAAATCAGCACCTACAGCATGACTTCCCATTCAAAACAAAACAAAGCCAAAAAAAACTTCTATTAGATTCCAAAACCTAGATTTCAGAATAAGATCCTTTTCACTCCATAGATAGAGTTGGAGTTTTGCTGTTTGAACTTTAAGTAGTAGAATATATGGAATCCATTTATTGTACTTAGGCCTACACAGACAAAGGGAAGCAGAGAATTCAATTATTTATCCAACTATTCAAGAGCAGCACAAATGCAGTGCGAAGTGCTTAATAAGAGGTAAACTAACATTTGAAAGACCAAACTATTAACTAGTGTCACCCTTTACAGTTTTTTTGATTGCATAAATGCAGCCTGCCACGAAAGAGAAAAAGATTATTGATATTATTCTTCTGATACAAGGTATTTTAATGTACTATAAACAATAGAACACCATTATAAACTAGCATATTTCTATAAGGACTTGAATATGTTATGGGTCAAATACACCTGTACAGATCATATACCGTTAATCTGTCAGGTGAGTGTGCATAGACGCACCACACAAGGGTCTTGCTAGGGCTTCCTCTTCAGTAATGAGTATGGGGGAAAAAAATAGAAGAACAATCATTTTATTTTTGCAGCTACATAGTTTAGATTTATATGATAAAAGGGATACTATTATTTCAAAGCAGACATGACTATCTGGACATATCAGTAAACTTAGAGTTAAAAATCTTACAAATATAATCTATTTTACTCACCTATCACATATGAGAGATATAAACTTATAAGTTTAGTATTTGGAAACATTTGAAAATCAATATACAACAAATATATATAGTAATAGAATTTTCTTCAAGATATCAAAGATGGTAGGATATAATTTCTAAGGGTTCCTGGTAATTTGGAAAAAAATACTGTGATGTTTAATTGGCTGAAAAATGTTGTATGCTATCTAATGTTCTATTTTTTGTAATTGAATCAATATTTAAACATTTT